TATCCCAAAGCATACCATTTTAGTTTATATTATATTAATTATTGACATGAAATGGGAGAAAATGAAAAGTAATGAAAACCATTTTCTATAAAGTAGAACATATTTGCCCTAAAATTTCCAATGTGATGCCAGTCCTTTATGAAACTGAAAAAAGAAGGAGGCAGAAAAGAAAGACATCTAACAGTATCTATGTCTTTTCTCTAATTCAGCCACAAAGGGATTTAGATGTTGTTCTTTGCTTGATCCCAAAACATGTGTCTGCAGGTGGGAAAAGAAATCTGGTTGTAGGAAGAGGGGAAAATTCTACTCTTAGCTTTTCCACATGACTTTATTAAAAAATCGTTTTACTTTTTTGGAAACAATTTTTCTATATGAAAAATAGAAACCGTGGATGGTTTATAACAGTTTCTGATAGTCACATGCCTTGAGACTGTATTTACAAAGGTGAAGAGATAGAGATGTTTCTGTCTGCTCTCGGGTGAGCGGCGCAGTGACTGTGTGGCACCACCCCAGCACTGTCACTTCCTGTCTTAGCGCCCAGGGCAGCTTGGGATGCTTCTGAATTTGTACATAAGGCTGAAGTCTGCAAAAGCCTTCTCTAACATTAAATTCCCTAGTCAACTCGTAGCCCCTTTAAACGGTGAACAAGACGACCCTTGTTCTGGAAAATCTGTCTTGCCAACACACACACATATATACAAAAACACAACTGTTGGTCAAATAAATCTTTCCAGAGAAAATAGATTCCTTTCCAATTCAGTCAACCGTACTGAGCTGGAAAGCAAGAAATGTTATTTTTCCAGGACGAAGGAAAGACAAGATCTCTCCTTGTTTACCTTGTCTAGTCCATTTCAAAAGAAGGCCAGTTTAATGCCTTCATTAAAAAAAAAAATCTCAAGTGTTGTTTATCAGAAGACACTTGGTTCCTTTCAGGCTGTGAATCACACATTGCAGCTCTGTGTTTTTTTCCCTTTGACCTAAGATACACATGGCAGGACTGAATTGCCTGCTGCTCTGGAGATGTCAAAAGTATCAGGAGTGGGAAGGACAGAGTCTGGTGATGTGGGATTCTTTGCTATTGGCCAGCCTCCTGATTGCCAGCCTGTGTCCCACCCCAGTCACTGAGCATGAAAGATGGAGCTTATAATTGATCCTCACTTTATGCAAGGCCACACGCATTCTCCATGCTTTCGTCTCCATATTCCCCATAATTTGAGAGCCTGGACGATCTCCTTGGAGAGTGAGAAAACATGGAGTTATAATGTTCCTGGCTGAGGAGCATGGATAGAATATAAATTAGACACAATGCTTGTCTATTCCCTGAGACGCTCTTTAGAACTTAAAGTTCAAAGTCTCAAGGAAGTCCTAACTGCAGCGACATAACTAGACTCTGAGGATTCCAGCTTCCTGGTTTTTCAACATAAACACAGGCTTCACATGTAAAGCATGTAGCATATAGTTGTTGTCCAGTAAAAATTTCTGTTTCTATTTTTTCACCAAAAACTTTCTATTTGCCATTAGATATGGAAGAGAAAGGTAATAATTTCATATATTTTCATTTCTTCCAAGCATCATTAGTTCTTGTCTTATCCAATTTGTGGTTGCCATAAGCTTATGCAATTATACATATTTCTTCTCTGCCTCATCCCAAAGCTATTCCAAACAGAATAGTGTAATATATGGCTGCTGGGTCACAATGGCACATGAGCCAGAGCCAAATGGAAAAAAAAATGCAAAATATCTTGTTAGTAACTATATCGATTACATGTTAACAAGGTAATATCTTGTATATGCTGGATTAAATTCGATATATTATTAAAATCAATTTGACCTAATTCTTTTTACTTTTTTAATATGGCTACTAGAAAGTTAAAATTACATGTGTGGCTTGCACTATATTCCCATTAGACATTGCTGGTGTAGACTACTCTGTGAAATATACAATTAATAAGTTAATAATTGAAGGTAAGGGCCTACAATAATAACTAGCCTTCATGGCACATTTACTATGTCTGGCATTTTATATGATTTTATTTCATCCTAATAATATTTATGAAAGGTAATTATTATTAGCCCATTTGTTGAAAGTATCCTGCTTAAAGTTTTATAGCATGCTAACAGAACTGGTATTTAAATTCTGGGTTTCTGGCATTAAAATACATGAGCTTTACAGTCTGAAATGATATCTCTTAAGTATTCTTTACCTCACTTAAAAAAAATTCCCAAGAATGTTGACCTGGAAAAAAATAGGAGTATCTATTCCTTTAGTTCCTAATTATAGCTTTCAAAGTTTGATACTCAGAAAATCAGTGTTATATATATTTTTATTATTGAGAAGGAATAATAATAGAAATGTTTATCTCTAACCTATGAATTTAAACTGGAGAAAATTATGAATTAAGTTTCTGTCTTTCCTAAACACAGAAGGGAAACTTATTTGATGGGAAATACATTGTTATTCATTGAGCACCTATTATTTCCATCCATGTCCCATAAATGCACTCTTTTTAACTGGTACAAAATGGAAAACATCATCTTTATCCCCAAACCAGCTCCTCCTCATTCTCCATTCTCTATCTTAGATATAGTCACCTGAATCAACATACTCATCTACACCAGAAACCTCATTCTTTTCTCAGCTTCTCTCATTTCTTTACCCTCCTTTCTATCTTGCAGTTTATAGAACACAGGTTTTTTTTTTGTTTTTTTGTTTTTTTTTTTTGAGATGGAGTCTCACTCTGTTGTCCAGGCTGGAGTTCAATGGCACCATCTCAGCTCACTGCAACCTCCACCTCTAGGTTCAAGCGATTCTCAAGCCTCAGCCTCCTGAGTAGTTCAGAATACAGGCGTACGCCACCATACCTGGCTGGTTTTTATTTTTATTTTTATTTTTTTGAGACAGATTCTTACACTGTTACCCAGGCTATAGTATAGTGGTGCCATCTCGGCTCACTGCAACCTCCACCTCTAGGGTTCAAGTAATTCTTTCGCCTCAGCCTCCTGGGTAGCTGAGATTACAGGCGTGCACCACCATGCCCAGCTAATTTTTTGTATTTTAGAAGAGACAGGGTTTCACCATGTTGGCCAGGCTGGTCTCAAACCCCTGACCTCAGGTGATCCGCCCACCTCAGCCTCCCAAAGTGTTGGGATTACAGGCATGAGCCACCATGCCCAGCCAGATCATGGGTATTCTTACTTTGCTTGAGCAGTACAGATTGTGCTTCCCAGTGGCTATGCCAAGTTCTTCTTCTTACCAGCAGAGCATATTCCCATATCCCCCAGAACATGGAGTTATTCAGCTTGCTAATGTTCTCCAAATAGGCATAAAATTATATCCTATTATTATGTTAATTAACTGAGCCACTTATGATTTGTTCGTTTTTTGGGTTTATTGCTTTGCAAATTGCCTGCTCATATACTTTGCTCATATCTCTAATGAAGTTGCTGTCTTCACCTTATTTGATTTGACTTTTTGTTTGATCTGGTCTCTTTGTGTATATTCTGGATAGGAATGTCTTATCTTGTTTGAACATTGTCTCTGTTCCTATTTTTAAATATGTTTCTAACTTTATCCTTGTCATGTGTCTTTCTGTATAATAAAAAGTTAATTTTGATATATATCAATAATCAGTGTTATACCATATGACTTTTTTGAAGTTTTTGTTTAAGTTTTGAAATGCTCTACTGCTCCAACATTATATAGATTTTTAGAACAAATTTATTCTGAATTTCAGACTAGAATTTTGATGGAATTACGTTGTACTTACTGGATATATGCAGAGAGGGTTAACATCTTTATGATATTAATTTTTCCCATATAACAATAAGAAATATTCTCATTCATTCAGGTTTTATCTGTGTTATTACAATAGTTAAGTTTTTTCAAGGGGGCTCTATGTTTCACATTTAATTACCAGGTATTTTTAGTTGTTGTTGGTATTTTAAGTGGTATCTTGCTTTTAAAAGAATAATACTTTCTAGTTACTTGCTGTTGGAAATGCTTTTATAGTTTGATCACATGTCCACCAAGTTTTTACTGTTTACCTGTTGATTCTGTTGTTTATTCTGAGTAGATGGGTATATCATCTGCAAACAGTGACAGTTATTTCTTCCTTTCCAATCATCTTTTTTCTCTTCTTTCCTTCAATGTGGGCTAGGATTTTCAACAGTATAATATTGGTTGTGTTATATAGTAATTTATCACAGTGAGAATGCTTGTCTTAACAGGAATGCACTTAAATTTTCTCCATTAACTATAAGGTTTGCAAAAGTTTTGGAATATAACCAAAATCCATTTAGGGGAATTAAAGAAATCCTTTTCTACTCTTTGCTAAGAGTTTTTTTTTTTTTTTAATCATAAATAAGCAAAGAATTTATCAAGTACTTTTTCTGCATCAGTTGAAATTATTGTAAGAGATTAAAAATTTTAATTTACTACTGTTCTTATTTTGTTGGCAGAATCCCTAATAAGGAATCATTCATCAATCAAGCTGCATTATTTTAAAACATACTGTTGGATTCAATTAGCTAATATTTTAAGATTTTTTTATCTACTTGATTAAGAGAAAAGGGGCTATAATTTTCTTTCTTTCTTTATCAAACACTATCTTTGTAAAATGTCCATCTGATTACACCAATATCATAAAACGAACTCAGCAGCTTTTGCTCTATCTCTTTTGGAATAACTTAGAATACAGATGAGAATTTGTTGTTCCTCAAGAGTTTGATAGAATGCACCTGTAAAACCATTTGGGCCTACAATTTTTTTAGAGGAGAGGTCATTGATTGCATTTAATCTCTAAAATGTGTTGGTTTAGTCAAGTGTCCTATTCTTTATGTCCATTTTGGCATTTAATATTTTTTCATTTTGATGAAAAAATGTTTTCAAATGTTTATATTTTAATAAGTTTATATCCCTCTTCTAGTATTTCAGTGTTTTTTTTTGAAAATGATACCTGCCAATAGAGAATTCAAATAATATAGAAAATTTTAAAAAAATAACAAAAATCAATCCCAAATCCTATGCCCCAGAAGTAATAATATAAACATCTATATATATAGATATTTTTATAGCAGACATCTTTCTATGTACAGAATTATAATAATAATAACAATAGAAACATGTATAGTACTTATTATATACAGATACTGTAATAGTCTATTCTCGGATTGCTATAAAGAAATAACTGAGCCTGGGTAATTTACAAAGAAAAGAAGTTAAATTGGCTCATGGTTCTGCAAGCTGTACAGGAAGCATAGCAACTTCTGCTTTTAGAGAGGGCTTAGGAAACTTACAATCATGGACTAAGGCAAAGGGGGAATGAGGTGTTTCACATGGTGAGAGCAGAAATAAGAGAGACAGAGGCGAGGTGAAACACACTTTGAAACCATCAGACCTTGCAAGAACTCACTCATTCACTTATTACCACAAGAATAGCACCAAGAGGATGATACTAAATCATTCAGGAGAAACTGCCCCAACAATCCAATCACCTCCCACCAGGCCTTACCCCCAACACTGGGGATAACAACTGAATATGAGATTTGGGTGGAGACACAGATCCAAACCATATCAGATACTGATAGAATTACATACATATATAGATAGAATGGATGCTTAGAAAGCTAAATGATGGATAGATAAAAATATAACCCTGAATGTATTTCTATTATAAGACCCACAAGAACTTTTTCTTTGCATTTAATGATTACAAACATATCCCCCACAGGATTCTGCACTCAGTGAGAGTGGGAACCCTGTTCCATGCGTCAGGCTGGTTTCTGGCATCAATTCCAAGCTTATAGGATGTTTATTGAATGAGTGAGTAAATGAAGAACATGCAGTTCAATGTGTAAACATTGTTCAAGCAATGACGTAAGTTTTGCTTATGTAATCCTTCCTAGCTCCTTGAAAAGAAAATATATCATCCCCATTTTTCAGTTGAGGAACTGAAATAGGAGGAAAGTAATTTGTCCAGGGCCTAAAGAACAGCCTGCTGAATTCTGGCATGGGCTCTGTCTGATTCTGATACCTCCTACCCTCCGCTTTCCACTGTACCACACTGATACTGAGAACAAATATCCCAAGAAGCCAAAAAATATATGATGAATCTGCAGTTTCTTCATTGAAAAAATATTTATTAAGCTCCTCCTAAACACCACACACTGAGATAGGAGCTGAGTTTCAGTGACTCCTACCCAGGGCTCCTGTGTTGTATCCCAACAAAGCAAACAAACAACCTTATGGTTATGCTGTGCTCTGGAGTGTATTGTGTGAGCACAGGGAGAAGTACCAGAAAGAAGGTGGTTCCAAGAGGCATCCTATGTAAAAGAAGGAAAATAGAAGGCAAGCAGTTGGAGGAGCCAGGGGCCATGCTCCAGGACAACACAGGCCCAGCAGTGGGAATGACTAAAAAAGGAGGGCCCTGTAGGAGACACAAGCAGCCCTGCTTAGAAAACCGCACTCACTTTGGGCCCACCAATTAGGGAAAAAAAGGCCCTTTCTGCTGACCAATTAGAAGGAGGTTCCGTTTCATCTTGCTGACCCAGCCCCATGCTGCATGCACCGCGCCGCAGGGGCCAAACAAGAGCAGGTCTCAGCCCCCACTGCACCTGCTTAGCTGGGTGCCCTTGTCAGAGCAAAACCTACATCATCACCCAGCCCCCTGGGAGAAGCTCTCAGTAGGGCAGCCCTCATCGTAGCTCCCTTTATTTAAGGCCACTTTAACAAGTCATTAGAACAGATCCTGGTTGGTTTTATGACATCTGCCTCCTAAGGTTAACAAATATGTCAATCAAGAGGATTATAATCCAAGGAGGAAAAGGAGACAGGGTAGGTCATTTTCTGGTGACTTTCGTATTAACAGAAATCCCAATTAAGAACTTTAGATTCTTTTTTTTTTTTTTTGAGACAGAGTCTCACTCTGTCACCCAGGCTGGAGTGCAGTGGCACAATCTCGGCTCACTGCAATCTCTGCCTCCCAGGTTCAAGTGATTCTCCTGCCTCAGCCTCCCTAGTAGCTGGGATTACAAGTGCCTGCTCCCATGCCTGGCTGATTTTTGTATTTTTGTAGAAATGGGGGTTTCAACATTTTGGCCACATTGGTCTTGAACTCCTGACCTCAAGTGGTCTGCCCGACTCGGCCTCCCAAAGAGCTGGGATTACAGAAGTGAGCCATCGCACCCAGCCAAGAATTTCAGATTTCTTAACATTGTTTTCAAACATCACCAGTTCTCCAAGAAGCTATATATACTGGAGAAGAGTGTGTTTGAAAACAAATTTTTGTGCCCTGTTGTTTCTCTCATTAAAAATTTTAAATCTTTGTTTTGAAGTTTAACACATACACAGAAAAGTGCACACATTTTAAGTGTATAACTCAATAAATTTTTACAAAATGACTACATCCAAATAACCAGCACCCAAGTCAAATAACAGAGTTATTACTAGCACCCAGACCCTTTCGTATCTTCTTTCAACCACTACTCCCTCTTCACAAGTAACCTCTGCTTTTAACTGCTAACACCCCAGGCTCACTTTGGCTTTTTGTTAACTCTACATAAATGGAATAATTTAGTGGGTTCTCTTTGCTGTCTGGTTTCTTTTCCTCAACCTTACATTTGTGAGACTGATACATGCTCTTGCCAGAAGCAATAGTTCATTTATCCTTATTGCTGTATAGTGTGCCCTTATGGGAACGTATTATAAACTATTTCATTCATTCTACTGTTGATGGACATTGGATCATTTTCAGTTTCGGGCTAATGTGAACAGTTAACCAGCCTGTTTTTAATGTTTGATTGCTATTAACATACCCCCGCCAAAAGCCATACCATATGTGAATGTGAAATTCAAGGACTGAAAAATTGCTGTGGCCATAGGAAGCAAAAATAACTAAAGGATCTTTTATCTTGATTAGCAAATTTAAAGATGTTACTGTATAAGGCAATTATATACTGTATAAGCAATTATATACAGTTCATTGCATAATGACAGTAGTCATTAGTGAGAAGTAAACAAGACTCATTAATTTTCAGGTAAAGAATAGGAGTCTACGTGATTCTGACAACAGCTCATCAGTTTTACCCTCTGCATTTAGCAGAGCTTGGTAACTTTTTCATGATATGACAATGTAATACTCAGGATTTCAGCATATAAACTGCGCTGATTGACTTCTAACTCTGAGGTAGGTGGTAAGTAGCAACACTTTCATTTTCCAGAAGAGGGAGTTTAGGCAAATTGCTTTCCCTCCCTCTTCCCATGCTCAGGACAGGTAAGTCAGTGTCAAGGCTACAGAATGCATAGGCTCCTGCCTGTGAGCTGAGCTTCTCCAACTGTCCTCCCAACATGCATCCAATATGCAGCGGGAAGGCAGTGGGAGGAACTGCAGCCTTGAGGTGGGAGGAATTCTATTAATACCTTGGATATTTATAGTACTCTGGAGTACTTGAAGCATCTTTTCAGAAGAGCTGGCCAGAGTCTGTGACTCATATGCCAACACAAGGAGCAATGTCATTTTGGAGATGGGCTGTCACATGGCTCTTGCAACTTCCGGGACTCCTTATAGGGGCCAGTTCCTCATCCCTGGTTATTATGTTCAAGAAACTGATGAATTAATCAAGGAATAATCCTTGAAGATGCTTTCTGGGCATCTCCACATAGGCTGGCTCCATCCCAGGGGTTCTTTCCCTTTTGTGCTGTGAAATTTCCTTGGCCAGCTGGTAAAGGCTTACAGACTTCGTCTCAGAATATTGTTTTAAAATGTGTAAAATAAAATACATGGAATTACAAAGGAAACAAAGCATATTGATATACAGTTACCCAAATTGTAGAAACAAAACAAGTTTGTGATCTAATAATATGTGTGCTTCTTTGCTAACATGTTCCACAACCAGATCTAGAGGTGAGAAAAGAATTAACATAATTTCAAAGTAATGATAAGTATTCACAATATTTGACAATACCTGTAATAATGTGATGTGATATTAAAATACTTTTCTTTCTATTGGTGACAGTCACAGATACTGCTGCTACTTCTACTGCCTATCATCATAGTTGAAAGAGATTTAAAATTTCCATTAGAGGTTAGCAAAAACTTCAGAGGTATCCTTTTTCCCCATCTAAATTCATAGACACCTGAATTCCATCCCTTATCCCTGAAATCTATTCCTACCTTAATACCCCAAAGATGGCTCCTAGGTTAGGGGCACACACACACCTCTAAACAGCATCAGCTATCTGAAACCCGGCAGCCTGTCTCCAGAAAGCTGGACTCCAGGCAAGTCCTATGGCCATGCCAGAGAGTTGCAAGGTAAGAGCTTGTGAATCTGATTCTCAGAGTTTGCTACTACTACCAAGTAAGAATTGGCCTTCCGTGTAATCAAGATCAGTTCCCAGCCTGGCTTCTTGTGACAGGGCTGAGTAACAGGCCTTCTTTTCAATGATATTCTAAATAATTGACAAGTTCAGATGATATCCAGGGACTACTGTCTAATATTGAGTTGATGATAATTAAGTTGATGAAAGCATTATGGTTATTAAAGAAAATGCCCACAGTTTAAAAGATACATGCTGAAATATACAGGGGCAAATAACATATCTGGGATTTAGAATTATAGTTTTTTTTTTTTAATGACTCTGGGTTAAAAAAGGGATGAATGAAGCAAGACTGGTGGAAATTCAATTAAAATTTCTGGACTCTAGGTAATAGTTATATCACCTAGGGGTTAGTTATACTGTTCCCTCTGCTTTAGCTTATGTTTAAAACTTTTTCTTATAAAAACCTTAAAAATAATTTTGGACCAAAAAATTCAGTGGAGAGTAGTTTTTTTATAGTGCCAGTTTGCTTTTTATAGTAATTATTACTTAATTTAGTTTGACGTACAACACAATGGCTAAGCTGTATCATTTCTCTCATAGTAAGTATACAAATTTTAAAAATTGGTTTTCCCCATACCTTTTGCCAGTTGTCAGGCATAGTTTTACCCTCCAGAAGTTCATACTTAAGCTGTGAAGACATAATGGATACACATGAGACCAGAGTTGGGAAACAACGTCAGACAGCGTATGATGTAAATGCCAACAAGAGTGATAAAGATGTAAAATGTGATACATGTTCGGGAAAAGCAGAGATCAGGGAGGGCTCGAAGGCAGAGCTAGTGGCTCTGAGTTGCAAGTTGTTCATTGCCTGTTGGTCTCAGAGTTTTGGATTCATTGCCTCTTTCCAGTTTAGGCATCTTTCTTTGCACTCATTTCTCCATGGTAGAATTCCCTCTGGATTTTTAAAGCTTGTAAGTGAAAACATTCTTACTTTCAATATCTTCCTATGCCCTTTCCTCATGAGGCTGTATTTGACATATACTGAGTCTCCATTGATGTGTACCCTCCATCTGCTCATGGCTGCTCCACCTCATCTTTCTGTCCCAGATGAACTGCAGTACAGGTGCTACTACGACCAGCATTCATGCCGGCTCAACCCAGTATCCCCCGGCCTTGTGTGGGCATAATATCTGCCAGGCAGGCAGCCAGGGAGCTAACATGCCTGGACCTGACAGTGGCCTCAGAGGAGAGACTCTTCCTGCCAAGTGCTGGGGAAGGGGACAATTGTCCCCTTCATATCATATCATATCCCCAGCCATAAAGCAAAGGGGATACCTAAACATGATAGAAAACCCAGTTGGTGCTGAAGTCACAGCCCTTCAAATGAGCTAGAATTATCTCTCAAAACAGGAGGGAAAAAAATCCCTAGAAACTATTCAAATAAGACCTAAGTCCAAGTCCTGGATGATCTAAGTTAATTTTTTTTTTTTTTTACCAACATTGCCTAGATCATTTACACAAAAGAAAGCTTTTCTTTGCTTTTTTTCCCTTTTGGCTTATTCTTATTCTGAATTATCTGAAGCATTGTGACCAGGTTACTTGGTGAGGCTGAGTTAGCAAACAGATAAAGCCATGTGGGTGAGGAGGTGGGATGTACATATGTATATGCCATCCACACCACACAGGGAGACTGCCGTGTCACAGTAGCCATTGGAACTTTTCATGGCTTAGAACAAGTTTGAAGTAAAAAAGAAAACATCAAATCCATGTTACTTAAGAGTGGTAGGATTCAAGAAGACTGTCCGGAACACATTCCCTGACTTACAGGCAAAACTTTAACCCAAGCCGTCATCCTTCTCTGGACCCTGCCTTCCCTGGGCTCCGTATCATTCCCCACACCTCCTTGGTTATGAGGGACTCCATAGGAGACTCAGGTGTACAGGACTAATTTCATTCCACCTCTCATGTGTACAAAAATGAAAACAAAAGGCTTTAACATCAACAACAACGAAAGGACCGCTGCTGTTCTGGGCGAGAAGCTTCTCAAAGAGATCAAGGTGTGGCCTGGCCATGATTTATGAACACGAGGTCTGAGTTGGACTCAGAGAAGCTAGGACACAGAATCATTGAACTTTTGCTGAATGAAGTAATGGGAATTTTGAGTTTTCTTCAGGGAAACAAAGAGATGCCATAGAGGCTGCATCTCTGTGAACAAACAGTGGTCTCTGGTGAAAGACATGAGGGTCATGTGTGTATGGCAGGTGAGGGGCTCAAAAAAGGCCCTGAGATATTTATTGGGGCTTTTTTGAGGATGGCTATAGCATTTTAAAGAACAGTGGCATTTTATTTTTTATTCTAAATAGTTTTCCTTCTGCATCATCTTGTCATCCCGGTCATAACCCCCAGCCCTCCCATAAATCTTTACATATGGCAGCTTTGTGTGAGTTAATCTTCAGGGAAAAACAGACGTGAGATGCTGTCTGGTGAGGAGAAGGAGGGATAGGACAGTAACTGTAGGAGCCATGAGTGGCCACTAAGAAGAGGCTGTCATAGAGAGAAGGCTGGAGTAGAGGCCACCTTGCCTCAGGAGCAGATGTGAGATGACCCCCTTTCACCCAAAATACATTAGAAGAAGGTGATCCTGATGGCAAGGTGGGAGGGGAAAACTGGTTCTTACTGGGAAAGGAGGTGTATTGGCAGGAGACACTTAGGTCCTTAGGAAACATATGAATAAAAACCACATTTCCCTGGTTTGAATGACAACCCACACATATATACACATAATTAATCTTTCCTATTTTTTGGCATCCCTAAAGTTTATTTAGCTTTCATTACAGAATTTATCACATTATACTGTATTATTTCTGATACATTCATATGTTTTATAAATACACATGTGAACTTTATATCTTTTGTACCAGCAGTGTGCCTGGCATGTTATGAATTGTTTGTTGAATGAATACTTGAATAAATGGCTGCTACATATCTTTGTTAACAAGATGAAACTCTGAGTCACTCAACAGAATCAGGTCTCATTTACCATCATGGGGCTGTGTCAGTTTTGTTCCTACCTTTCTGTACCTTCCTGATCCATTTAGATGAACCCTGGGCTTCAGGAAGCACTAGTTCTGTGATGTCCTACAATGGAATCCACAACACTCCTCTACACACCACAGTTTCTGGCTGAGGAGGAGGTGTGAACAGGTTGGCATAGGCATGTCACTCTCATTGGGCCTGGCAGAGTTGGCCAGCTGCACTGCCCAATACAGGGGTCAGCTCATTGCCAAGAGCAGCAGTGGCCTTGTGAGTAAGATGAGTGGGCAGGCATGGCCTGAGTCATTTGGCAAGTGCCCGGAAGCTGACCATCCCACAGCTCCCCCCATTGAACTTCCCATTTCCTGTTACATTAGCCAAAACTCTACCACCCTTAGCTATTCATGCTTTTGGATCTTTCAGTGATCTCAATTAGTGAGTATTTGTATAGGCTTCTGATATAGGGAGATCAGGAGAAGTGAGGAAGACAGAGAAAAAGAAATGAGAGGGAGACACAGATAGGCTTTGCACCCTTCCTTGTCCTTGTGCAGGACAATACTTTCTCAAAAGAATAGCTTTAGCTCTTCCAAAGCTGCCCCGACAACCATGAGAAGCCCAGATGATCAGGATTCTCCACATACCTTTTTATACACATAAGAATTTCTTTCTCTGCCAGCCACACAACATCTGAAAACTCATACACACGAGACATAAGGGAGAGAAGGAGAATAACAAAACCAAGTGTGCTATACAGTAAAGGCACTGTAATCTTGCCCCAATACCCCCAGGCCCACATTTCTAGGCTCCCTTCCCTATCCAGGTAAGACCTAGGATCTGAAGAAGAATGTTTTTCTAGATGAAGGTTATAAACTTAAGAGGAAACACACAACTGTATTTTCCTGATCCCAAATTAGAATGTAGGATCAGACATATCTGTAAATATTTTAATCTGTGAATGCTTTAAAAAAGGAAAACAAATGAAATTGCTGCAGTTCACATGTAATAAATCTCCTTTATTGAGGAATGGATTTAACTTTATTGACCTTGGTCTGTGAATCAGGTCCTCTATCCCATCAAGGCCACGCTGGAGCTGCTGCTCTTAACCACCTACACCATGGATAATATGCATAGGCTAGCCCCTGGAATCTCCATTTCATTTGCCTTGCATGACCAGCTTGAACAAGTGATTTGTTATGCTCTCACTTCTCATTCCAAGTAAACGTTCACATTTTTTGTTTGTTTTTAAGAGACGAGGTCTTTATATGTTGCCCAGGCTGGACTCGAACTCCTGGGTTCAAGTAATCCTCCTGTTTCAGCCCCCTAAGTAGCTGAGATTATGGCCCTGAGCCACTGTGCCAGCTAATATTCACTTTTCTACCTACTTGTGCATTTGTGATTTCGTGTTCCTTTTCATTAAGAGGGCCCCCATATTATATAAGTTTCAATCCCTACAAAGTTGGATCTGCCCTTTCATATGTCTACTCATGTAGTGCATGCTCTTAGTGTGCATAATTACACAGGAAATCTAAACTAATGGCTATCTGATAACGATGATTTTTCTTCTTTTTTTTTTTTTTTTTTTTGAGGCGGAGTCTAGCTTTGTGGCCTGGGCTGGAGTACATCTTGGTTCACTGCAACCTCTGCCTCCTGGGTTCATGTCATTCTCCCACCTCAGCCTCCTGAGTAGCTGAGATTACAGGCACCCATCACCACACCTGACCAATTTTTGTGT